AAACCTGTAAGGTAGCAGACAGCCTCATCTTTATCCTGTGGAGCAGCCGATGGGTTTGAACCACCATCTTAGGGTTAGCAGTCCAATGCTCAGCCTACTAGGCCACCTGAGCTCCTTTGCATCCCTATAGGCATTGTCCTTTTTCAAACCAAACCACTACCATCGAGACATTCCGGCTCCTGAGACTAACAGTGGAGATGGAGGAGTCTATGCTAACACATCAGTAATTTCCAGCTCCCTTGTGTTTGTTGTTAGGTGTGGTCTAGTCAGCTCCAGCTCGTGGCGGGCCCCCCGTACAACAGAACAGCACCCTACCCAGCCCTGAGCCGTCCTCACACTTGTTCGTATGTTTGAGGCCCTGGGTCAGTCCACCATGTCCACAGGGTGTGGGCTAGCACGTACGTGGGGAATACAGCTTTTGGAATGTGTCTACTGGAACCAGCTTTTGTTTGCTCATTGTATTTCGTGTTCTGCCTGGAGGAAAGCTTTGCATTCTGAAGTTGTTTTTGAACTTGACCCCGCAAGTTTATCATGTTGAATTTTAACTGACGTTGCAGGATGGTGAAAAAAAATTCACACCTAAAAAGAAAAAAAAGCATATGGATTTGATAACCTACCTTGGAAAATCTAAGACATCTGGTTTTGTGTATGTGTGTGTGTGCTATAGACATTTTTTGAAGGCCTAAACATGAAGTGTCGGTCCAATTGATTAATATTTTGGAATGAATTTAGTTATGATATGACCTAAGAACAATGAGTTGTGCTTAACCTTTATATAGTTGGGTGGTGGGGTGGTGGTGTTAAGTTTGTACAGAAAACATTTTCACATTATCAGTAAAAACCACATTTGAAAGGGAAAAAAAACATTTGACCAGGGTATTTTAAATAAACTTGGTAGCCGATATTCCAACAGGGAAAGTCTTTAATGAAGTTGCGATACATTTGTAAGAATTACTTGGACCCTGTAACGTGGACACCATTTGACAATATCTAAAATATCGATCAGGTTTTGTATACTATACTTTGTTTATTTAAATTGGTCATAACGTTTTAATTCATTTCACTGGGGTGAAATCCATTTCCTTAAAGTAGATGCATTTTACCAAGGGCTGAGCCACCATGTGTACCTCTGATTTCCAGCATAAACTATAATTCATAAAGGCCAATACAACTCTTTCCTTTGTAGCAGTGTAACCATTTATGTTTGAGGTGAAGATGTTAATATGGAAATTTGTGAGCTAGGGAAGAGGATGAACGCTATCATTCTAATTTATGACCTCTCATATGAGGCCAAATGTAAAAGCAACTTCAATTGTTTTATATCTCAGGGCCAGCATATAGCAGATGTGTGAAATCTGGAGTGTTAGACATAAACTTTTATTACCAAATTATAAATAATTTCTCCCACTTATAATGTTCACCTTTCAAGTTCATCTTGATTAAAAATGCAAGGGCAGCTTCACAGTGATTTCGCTGAATTAGACGGTGGAGAGCGGTTTTCCAGGGTCCACCGTGGAGGGTGCAGCAGGGCCGCACTTGCAAAACTCTCTTCCCAGAAGCTCAGACCCTCTTGAGCTTCAAGTTCAATCAGAACGGTGGCTGGTGAAATGGGGGCATTTAGTTCAACCTCTTACATGTTGTATTGTACACGAAAAGCCCAGGATGTACAACAGACCCTTTCTCTTGTCTTAGGTAAAAAGCATGTCCTAAGAAATTGGCACATCTTTTAATACGCTTATGCTGCTTCTTAAAAAAGATTTTCAGTAGAGATCCAAAGCCCATTAGTAGGCCACTGGAGATCCCCTTGCAGAGGGGTCTCGGGGAAGAGACGAGCCAGTCAGGGTGCGATGTAACAACGATGAGAAATACAACTTTCCTCTAGTTCCTAAATGTTTCCTCCCCGCCCCCACTACCATGACTCAAATTCGGCCTTGCAGGTCTGGCTAGACCAGAGGATGTACACTGGTACAGATAGGAAATGGAAATCCAGGGAATCCAGGGCAGATGAGCCCTGCAGGACCAGTGGTGTGCGTGGCAAAACAGGGAAGGTAGAGGGAGAATGGGTAGGGAAGGGGGAGCCGATTGCAAGGAACTATATGTGACCTCCTCCCTGGGGACAGACAGCCGAGAAGTGGGTGAAGGGAGACGTCGGACAGGGCAAGATATGACAAAATACCAATTTATAAACTATCAAGGGCTCATGAAGGAGGGGGGAGCGGGGAGGGAGGGGGAAAATGAGGACCTAATGTGGGGGTTTAAGTGGAGAGAAAATGTTTTGAGAATGATGTACAAATGCACTTTACACAATTGATGTGTGTATGGATTGCGATAACAGTTGTATAAGCCCCTAATAAAAGGTTAAAAAACAAACAAACAAACAAAAAAGATTTTCAGTAACTGTAGATGGTCTTCTCTTTAGCGAATAATTTTCATGTCCTATGATGAAAAATGATAACCATAGCCCCAAACACCCACAATTCAGATACCACAGTTTAGTTGCTTTTATATTTGTTCAGGTTTTTTAAAAAGTGTTATTTGTCCAAGTTTTGAGGGCCCGGAAAAGGAGTATCCACCCAGTCTATGCCAGTCCTTCATGCCCATGAAACAAGAATTGCCAGTGTTCTTGGAAGCTGAATACTGATGCCAAGTGTTCAGATCTGCTTTGGGGAGTGCTGGTCAATCCAGTTCCATGTTTGTACCTCTTTATCCTTAGCATCTTTATCAATATCAAAACACAGTCAGCTACATGTTCACAGGACTATGATCTTACGAAACAGGCTAGACATGATTCCATCTCTTAAGAGCATGGACCATTGAAGAAGATAGTTTAAGGCATCAACAAAACAAAACAAAACCTCAGACTCACTATTACTGATTCAAGTTCAACTCAGAGTGCTCTGTAGGACAGGGTCGAACTGTGGGCTTGTGAACTGTTTAGGGAGTAGAAAACCTCATCTCTCTCCCTCAGAGCAGCTGGTAGTTTAGAACTGGTGGCTTGGTGGATAGCAGCCCAGTGAGTAACTCACTATGCTACCAGGACTCCTTAGTAAAAGGTATAGATAAAAATAATTGTAGAAATATGGAGCACATAAGAAAACAGCAAAAATCCCCTTACTATTTTCATATCAACATTTGCCTGTGAAGAATAATGACTTTTGCTATTCTCTTTATAAATCCATTTCACATACATTTGCCCTCAGTTAATCATCACATAATTTCAGGGTAACAAGAAATGCTTTTTTATTTTCCCCACTGTAAGATAAAGAACCAGGTTCAGATAAGATATTTTTACAGGACAAAGAAAAGTTGTAGAGTTTAGAAGTGATAGAGGCAAAATTCAAACATTGAGCACTCACTTCACGATTCACATGTTTAGTTCCTTGGGCAGAAACGCACTTCAAGACATTGATAAGAGATAGCTGAACTAAACCTTGCCCAATTACTTTTATGAGCTCAGGGCTTCTTAATACATTAATGTCTGTGTCTAGGCCTCAGAGGCTAGTTCTTTTTGAGTAAGAATTCCAGAAAAAAATATTGCATATGTTTTCTTTGTATAATTCAAGATGCTGAGAGGCAAGCATCAGAAACACCTGGAAAACCCTGCAAAGTACTGAAAATTGTTTGGTTAGTTGGGGCATACCAATTCTCAGCTGGGAGGAAGTTCCGAAAATGAGGGTGTTTTTCATGAGTATGTTAACTCCTGAAATAATTCAGGGTACCAGCCATTTGGGCTTGTTTGGTCCTTACAGGGCTGTGCCCCTTGGGAAAGACTGCAGCTGCTCTGCAGATGAGCCCTGCTCTCAAAATTCCGCACAGCCCCTTGCCCACCATACCAAACTTTATGGCCTAGCCAGAGCTCTGTGGTAAAGAAAAAGACGTTTGGAATCAAAACCTTAAGTGAAACCAGCGGGTAATGTGGTGCAATTTGATGTCTTCTGAGAAGGTTTTTATATCTTTTTGTCTTATGTTTGTTCTTTGTAGCTAATTGTTTGGTTTAAACGGACTCTGCTTAAAAATTTAAATTTCTATCATATTGTATATTGCACTAACTTCCAGTACAATATATCTGTAACTGCTTGGCCATTTTCCAAACGAAGCTTTTATAGAGGATTTGAGGAAGTCTCTCTTCTCTACCAAATCACCCCCAGTTGTTCTCTGTCCATGTAGTTTAATCAAAGACGGATTTTTCCACTCCTGATGTTAGCTAAGAGATGCTTGCATGAGGAGAAATTTACTTTTGCTTTAAGGGGGGAAAAAGTACATATTAGATTTTATAATAGTAACAGACTCCATTGTTTAAAGATACATTAGCACTTTGTTTACGATGTTACACATGATAAATAGGATTAAAGTCAAAGGTTTAAACCAAGGAGGATTTAAGAATATTGAGAATTCATGCAACACACACAACCAACTTTCCATAACAGCATTTGAATGCCTGTACAACTTCCCTTCAGAATGACTATTTGCAATGCAGCGCAGTGTACGCCCTAATAACAAAGACTTACTGTAATGATTTTGATTTTTTGGATCAATTAATACTGCCATGGAGACAATCTCTTGCTAATAAAGACCCCATCTTTCCACAGTTAAATCAAACCCTACAGGTGTATTCAAAGATTACAAGCTACTTGCTTTATTCATATATTTGTATGAAATTATCCAGAGCATTTCTGGGTATGACCCTAATTTACTTTGCCGATAATTGCCTATGACTTCAAATTATTTTTTGCATTTATGCAAAGAAATCATACTTAAACGATTACTTCTAGATTTCTCGAGGGTTGTTTTAACTTTATTATTGTTGTATTTTCAAATGTCGTATTGGGCTCTGTCACCAGAGATCTCCAGCACAAGCTACGTTAACGCCACCAAACCACTTTATAAACGACCGATCTCAGATTTGCGCGCGCCGGTGAGGTGCGATCTTTGTGGCTCCCGCGGCTTGCCGTAGCCAGGCGGCCGATGATTGGCCGAAGCGGAAAAGCGCTGGTTCCTCAGCGGTGTCGCCTTTCGCTGCGCTTTTCCGCGGTGGCCGTTCTCGTGGGGCGCCTGGAGAGGAGGTTCTGCTTCCCGCCTTAGAGGTGAGCCGGTCGGCCACGCGGGCTGGGAAGGAGTTCGCCCGCGCGGCTCGCGGGTTCGAGGCCCGGGTGTCCGGGAGCGCAGCGCAAGATTGGCAAGCGAGGCTGCAACGGCCCCAGGCCTGACTGCGCGGAACACGCCCGGCGGAACCGCGCCCAACCCGCTCGGCCCTGGAGATGTAGAGTGGCACCACCCGGGCCACCGCGTTTGCCTCGGAAACCAGCCCTGGTTTGCGGAGCACCCCCCCACCCCCACCCCCAGCCCCCAACCCCCGCTAACCCGGGAATTGGTGGGAAGCCAACCAACACAGGCTCACGCTTCGCCCCACTTCCAGGGCCTCCTGTGACTTCCCGACCCTACCCCCACTCGCCCCCCCCCCCCCCCGTTCCACCTCACCAAGTTGGGGGGGGTGCACCCACAGTTGTAGTGCTCATCCCAGTGGGCAGAGCTCTTCTGGGCGCACATGCATAGCTGGTGCTTTTGTGGGGGCTGTCTCGGATTGGGGCGTCCACGACTCTCGCTGAGACATGGAAAACCCCGAAGTCTCTTTTTTGTCTTGGGCTGCGTTCTGTTTGAACTAAGCTACCAATCCCCCTCGCTTAACAGTATATGCAGTTTTCCACTGCCCTTCCCAAACTTTGGAAGCACGGTTTCTAATGTATCATCGTTTGGAGGAGCTCTGGTGGTGCAGTGGTTCAAGTGCTCCAGTGGAAAGGTTGGCCCGTCGCTGCCGGCAGCTCCGTGGGAGAAGATCGCCGTCTGCTCCCGTAAAAGATTTACAGCCACGGAAAACTGGGCCCCTGTTAGTGGACGCCCCTATCAATGGTTCTGTCGGATAGGCATTGGACTGCTCACCTCTAGGTTAGCGGTTCAAACCCACCAGCCGTTCTGTGCAGTAGCAAGAGGCTGACTGCGTCCATAATGTCTCACAGGGTCCTTAAATTGGAATCCAACTAGGCAATGAGTTTGGAACTACTTTTTTGGTTGGTTGCCTATTCGAAGAATGGTTGTGTATGTCATAAATTATTCAGCTGTTTCCCGTTTCAGAGGTTTTGCTTCATTGTAACATAACAGAAATGAGCATTGTTGGTGTGTTGGTTAAGCAGACTGCTAACTGAAAGGCCAGTGGTTCAAATTCAGCAGCTGCTCCGTAGGACAAAGCTAAGGCAGTTTGCTTCTGCAAAGGTCACAGCTTCAGAAACCTTTGGGGCAAGGCTTACAATGAGTCAGAATTGACTCCAGAGCTTTGGGTTGAAGCTTTGGTTTTTAACATCCCAGATAATAAAGTTTGTTTTTTTTTTAGAAATTATATTTCAGGATATTTTCTTCCAGTGGCCTTTCAGAAGGGGAATTATTAGGTCAGATGATAAGGCCGGTTTTAAGGGTCTTCACCCTCAGTACCCACAAAACCCACGGCCATTAGTCACCTCGTGCCCATTTCACCCCTTCCTATGGTTTCTGAAGCTGTCAATCTAAGCCTCAACTTACTTTCCTGGGAGCGACTGGTAGGTTTGTGGTTAGTGGTCCAACACTTACCCACCACCACCACCAGGGCTCCTTCACGCAGTGGAGTCATGTTCCCAAATTTTCCGTAGTTCACATCACGCATTCAGGAATGTACCTAGTTTACCAAAAGCGTGGTAGCTTATAACAAAGCTAATATATCAACCAGTAATGTTAAGACTCTTTGGAATTGTTTTATTTGATAGAGTGCTTGATTGCATGGCAAATAGGCTTACTTGAATTTTGTGCAGGAATCTTTAGAAACTGTGTGTTGTTGTTAGCTATTTGCATAGATTCACTGAATGAATGTTAACTCAGGAAGGGACTCCGTGACCATCTAGTGCAGGGGTCCTCAAACTACGGCCCGCGGGCCACATGTGGCACACCGAGGACATTTATCTGGCCTGCCCGGTGTTTTTGCCCCGTTTTGTTTTTTTACTTCAAAATAAGATATGTGCAGGAATTTGTTCATTGTTCTTTTTTTAAGCTATAGTCCGGCCTTCCAACGGGTCTGAGGGACAGTAAACTGGCCCCCTGTTTAAAAAGTTTGAGGACCCCTGATCTAGTGTAACTCCCTTATTTTACAGATGAGGATCGGGGCCTTGAGTGGTGAAGTGATGAGTTATCCAAGTCCTGCAGCTAATTAAGTAACAGCTGGGATTAAAACCGAGGTTTCCTGTCTCCCAAGTGAGTACTCTGTAAGCTCCAACAGGTGGTCTCACACTGGACCCTTGTGATGAAAGAACTTGGGAAGATGCTTATGTCACCTGGAAAATAAATAGTTTAACCTTATGAGGGACCTGTAACATGGAAAAAAAACCTTTCTCATAACCAGGACTAAACAGAATAGAATAGAATTTATTATAGATTTAGAATAGAATTGTTCAAGATTTTGACGCTGGTTTGTTTTCCGAGTCTCTATCGATTGGAATGATGTGTCCCGGTTAGTTGCTGTTCAGTCAGTTTGTGGTCACTGTATGCGTCACAGAACACAGTGTGGCCAGGTCCTGCATACCCCTGATTTCAAAAAACTTCTTATTGTTCTAAAACTAGAGAAGGGTGGGGGTGGGGGTTGTTGTTATTTTTGCTTTAGGACTGATAACATTGTTGACATTTGGGGGCATCATTTTCTGTAAAGAGCTGTCCTGTGAATTGTAGGATGTTTAGCAACATTCCTGGGCTCAACTCACTAGATCTCACTCCACCCTCCCCAGTCATGATGATAAAAAAATGTCCCAGTCTGCATTGAGAACGGCTTACATAAACGAATGTTTTGGGGGAGCTTTATATCAGTTACCCTTGTTTAGAGATTCTGACTGAGAAGGCCTCAAGAGTCTTTAATAAGCTTCACTCTAGATTCCAATTCAGCTGGGGGTTGTGTGTGTGTGTGTGTGAATTAAAGTGAACATTTACAGAGCAGAACAGATCATTGATTTCAACATTCAACAATTCATGAACATTTCGACTCACCCACTGTGATCTCCTCAGAGGGTATCCCACTTCAGCCTTGTGCTTGCTCTTTCTGTTCCTCCTCCTTCCCTAACTCTGTCCTTCGAGTGCTGCCCTTTGCGCCTGGACCAGTTGATGATTGCAGCACGGGGCGGTTCACTTCCAGACCTGGAAGGTAACTGAGGGCGTGGTGTGGGAGATTCCACCAGGCTTTATCTGGCAAGCAGCCTGGCCTCGTCTCCAGTTTTGAGTGCTGGTCCCCATTTTTCTTTCCCTCTGTCCAGGACCTACCTTTCAGAACTTGGTAGCGGTAGCCAGGCACCATCGAGTCCTCCTGATCTCAAAGACTGATGTTTTCGTGGTCCACTAACCCACTGGACTAGTGATTTCCATCGCTTTTCTTACCTCTGGATGGGGAGAGACCACGGGTTGCACCACAGATGAGTCCTCAGGGTCTTTTAAGACAATCCGCCCTGCCCCCCCCTCCCCTCCCAGTCCTCTATCGAGTTGCTGGTTTTTGACCCACACAGAACCATTGCTCTTGTCTGTTCTCACCTTTCTCTTACTTGGTGGTTGGGCATAGAAGGACGAGGGGCCTGGTGTCGCTGTGGGATAAGCAGTGGACTGTTAACCGCAAGGCCAGCAGTTCCACCACCAGCCGCTCTGAGGGGTTGCGATGAGGGGTCTGCTCCCTTGAAGACTGATGTCTCAGAAACCCTCAGGAGCAGTGTTGCTCTGCCCTGTGGGGTTGCTGTGCATCAGAATTGACTCAGTGGCCCTGGGCTTGGCTTTGTGGTTTGGAATAGAAATCTTACTGTACTGGTAGCGGTTGAAATTGGAAGATACTGTACTAGTTACATTCCCATTGTTTGAAGGGAGAAGGGACGGGTTTTTCTTGGTGCAGGCCTTGGACTCCTCCCCTGGACTTAGGCAGTGTGCTTAAGTATCAGGGCCACCTGCTGAGTAAAACAGGTAGTTCCCTGACTGAGCAGGGAGCTCTGATCACTCGGTCCTCAGTGGACAAAGGAGGGGAACAGTACAGAACATGGGCGAGGCCGCCCACTGCGCCCAGAGGGAGAGATGCAGTGAGCCAGTCTTCTCAGTGTCAGAGACACCACACCTTAGTGCTGCATTTAGTTGGGTGATAATGCTATGCTAACTTGAAAGCTTTTGCGTCTCAAATTTTCCCCAGCCTCTCCATCACTGCTACTGAGTGAGTGTCGACTCATGGCAGTGCTATAGGAGTAGAATGCACTGTGGCTTTCCGAGGCTGTAGCGATTCATGGGAGGAGCAAGCCTCACTTTCTCCCTCGGAGTGGTTGGTGGGTTGTGCCTTTTGACCTCGTAATGAGCAGCCAATGTGTACCCCACTCTGCCCCTGGATTCTGTACTCCTCTATTTGGGTGACTGTCCTGAAACACAGCAGCAAACACTGCCGGGAACGTGGAGCCACGGGCTCTCCCGGCACTGCGTTCATGGTGCAGTGGAAATGCAGAGGGGTCAGCCACCCTTGTCTGCTTTCAAAGCTTAAGCTAGGCTTATCATAGGATCTTGTTTCACACTCCTAGACCTTTATGTACCCAGCATGTTGACTATGAATGTATCTCTACATGAAAACCACATAAGACATTTTGTCTTTAATTGCTCCATATCGGAAGCAACCAAGAGGCCCCTCAGACGGTGAGTAGATAAACTAGTGCGTCCAAGTAGCAAGCAGAAGAAGAAATCTGCTGCCACCGAGTCACTTCCCCCTCAGTAGAACTGCTGCTTTTGTGTCTGCAACGAAATCTTTATGGGGCAGACGTCCTCATCTTTCTCCCAGGGAGCCACGGCTGAGCTGGAACCGCTGACCTCATGGTTCACAGCCCCATGCGGAGCCACAGTGCTGTCAGGGCTCATGGTGCATCCATATCATGAAGTACGATTTAGTGGTTTTTTAAAAAGACCTGAGCAGTCAGACAGAGGAGCACGTCAGTGCACTTTGCCGAGGGAAAAAACTCGGTTGACAAAGCTGCATGCAGTGATTCCAACTACATGACTTTCGGGAAAAGCAAAACGAGAGAGTAAAAGGGCGGCTGTCGGTGTAGGGGAGGAAAGCATGGAAGGGTGAGTAGGTGAGCATGAGGGGTTTATAGGGCAGTAAACATCGCTGGATGATACAGTAATGGGACATCCATGCATTGAATAGAACCAAACTCACTGCCATCAAGTTGACACTGACTCGAAGTGACCCTTTAGGACACAGAACTGCCCTTTCAGTCGCTGGGACTGTGAATCTTTACAGTAGAACGGCGGGTGTGTTCAAACTCCTGACCTTGTGGTTAGTAACCCACTGTACCACCAGGCTTTCTTGATTATATACAGCAGCGCTTCCCAACCTGTGGGTCGCGGCCCCTTTAGGGGTCGAACGACCTTTTTACAGGAGTCTTCTGATTCATAACAGTAGCAAAATGACAGTTATGAAGTAGCAGTGAACATAATTTTCTGGTTGGGGGCGGGGAGTCACCACAACACGAGGAACTATTAGACAGTGGTGGCATGAGGAAGGTTGAGAACCACTGATATAAAGAATGAAACTTATGGCATGCTCTAGGCTGTAACATAATCATGTATCCGTTTGGGTTCATCCATTGTAACCAGTTAACCAGAGGATGCTCATAAGACATGTGTGCAGATGAGACTGCACATTTCTACATAGTTTTTTTGTGTAAACCTAAAATTGCTCTTAAAAATATGTATCCATTCAACAGTTTCTTCTTTTGCAAAATCTCCTTAAATATATTTCTGTCTGGCCATGATAATTTCAGACTGATTTATAGTGCCTTGTCACTTTGGGTATCCACCACCCCCACCCTCCCCAATGCTGCATGTGTTTTTGCTTGGTTTGGCCCTGTCTCCATGGCTGTTCCCCAGACTTGGCCAGAGAATAATCTGACACAAACGGAAGAACAATTGAACCTTGAAAGGGCTTGGGGCTGTAGGTGTCACGCCTTGGTTCTGCTAAACCCCCTCACGGAACGACTACTTGAATTGTTCCTGGATGTAAAACTCCCTAGCTTAACCAATGGTTGACTAAAATGCAGTCCTTTTGCTTCCATTTTTTTGCTCAGAATTCTTTACCGGGCAGTTTGCAGATGTCCTAGTGCGAAACCTCTCCATTACTTCTGACAGAAAATATACTGCCTTGGACTTAATAGGCATTTATGAAAATAGGTCATTTAAAACAAGCCTGAGTAGGAGCCGGAAGGAGAGGAGGCCCAGAGGGTGATTATGGCTCCAGATTTGAAGGGAGGGTTTCACCAAGGTGACCCTGAAGAAAGGACTGTTTCCGGTTTTGTGTTTATGGTTCAAGAGGTTCTCTCTTGCCTCAGAAATTGTCAGGACAGTGCCTCTTGCCTTATCCAATTTAAAAGATGAAAACTGAAAATTACCTGAGCCAAGTGATGGGAAAAATTGTGTCAGGATCAATTTACTAACACAAAATGGATTTATGGGCAAGTCATTAAGTAACAGAGCACCAAGGAAGCCTAATGAAGACTAATGTAAAATATATGGCTTTCCTAAAGTGATGGATAAAGTGTGTTTGAGGCAGCCACCTCTTTTGAAATAACTGAAAATATGTGGGTCTTTTTAATGTTAAGAGGTTTAGCAGAACGTAGATCTTCTGGAGAATAAATGAGGAGTTTGGGATGAGTCCACTTTTCATTTGGGATAGAGTGTTTAGGCGAGAGGAAAGGCTCGTTTAGAACAATGTGAAGGAAGACAAAAGGGAGTAGACGGGCAGGCTGTATCAAGTGCCGCAAGCGCAAGCAGATGCCCCGTATGATTGCAGAAAGGGGAATGCTGGCAAATCCTTGCTCAAAACCCTTCTATATTTCAGTCACCGACGGGAGTATTACCGAGCTGGTCAACACTTCGGTTCTCTCAGCAAACAGATTCCTGGGGCCTGGACTCCAAAGCGACTGTGTCACAACCTCCAGGTGCCACAGGTGATTGCAACTTTCGCTTTGGCCCGGCTCCTTGACTCCCCTGACAATGAGTCATGCCCCCTTCTGCCCTGGCATGTCCTCCTTGCCTGCATACCTTGTATCCTCAATCACTGCCCAACATCTTTGCCAAAACTTATCTCCATGTAGGGGGTAGACACCTTTTCCTGTAAACTTTGATCGGGTCACCTTTTCCAGGATCCTCCTCTGAACACATTAACACTGGGCTAATAAGCAAGCCTTCTTCTCTCTGCTCTGCACGCATTCTGTATAGGAGTCTATTCAAATACAGACTACTTTCATCAAATTCTCCACAACCGTTCTCACTCCTCTTCCCTCCCTCCCTCCCTGCTGCCTCTGGAGAGTCATCTTGGAGGGCCCTCGGCCCTTTGTGTTAACATCCCCAGTCCTTCCAGTTGGTGTGGACCCATAGCGACCCCATAGAGCCGCAGTTCTCAACCTGTGGGTTGTGACCCCTTTTGGGGTCAAACCACCCTTTCACAGTAGCAAAATTACAGTTATAAAGTAGCAACGAAAATAATTTTATGGTTGGGGGGAGGGGTCACCACAACATGAGGAACTGTATCAAAGGGTCGCGCCATCAGGAACTTGAGAACCACTGCCGTAGAGCATGGTAGAATTTCCCCTTTGAGTTTCTGAGACTGTTAACTCGTGATGGGAGTAGAAAATAGCTATTGGTTTTGAACTGGTGACCTTGCAGCTCACAGCCTAACTAGTAACTGCTACACCAATCAGTGTTCCTAATAGTCTGGGTTTAGATTTTTTTTTTAACCCCATGTTAGTAACTTTGGACAAGGTAGGTAATATTGCTGTGAACTATCTGTTTACATTACCGTGAATTTTCATGTAGGATTTTTTTTTAAATTTTAGGGGAACCCAAATCCAAACTAAGAGCTTCATTTCATATGCCCAACGTGTGGCATAATAGATAAGTCAGGAAAGGAACCCCTGAGACTCTTGGTTGAGTCTCCTTGTCTGGAGACCGGCTAACACTAGGTGGGCATGTGCAAGACATACCTAAAGTACCGGACTGTGTAGTTGATGAGGAAGGCCTGTTTCTATTAAACCCCTAAAGATCCTGAATCTGCTGCAGGGTCTCCTTTGTCATTTTTCTCCCTCGGTCCAACATCAATGAAATTGTTGTGCGGTAGGAGGAGTGTCCTGAATGGTCGTTAACATTTCACTTTTCACTTGGTACCGGAGATTATAACAGTAAGCTAGCAGTTTATTGGAAAAGTTAAGTTGGCTGAACAAAACAATTGATTACTTAAAAAAAAAAAAAAAAAATTAAAGCTGGAGTAGGGGATGATGGAGCCTAAAACTCAGGAATCATTTTTGAAGTTTGTATTTTCTTTCATCTAACTTATGCCATTGACTTTGTTTTTCCTTTAAATAATCATGATTTTACTTAAATTACAATCATTTTTATTTACTCAGACCCTTTAAGCAAGAGTTTTAGATTTCTCTTCTGCATTCTAACTTTAAGACCTGAGATTCTATGTGTGACATACTTTTAAAAATGTTCTTGCAGTGTGTACAAGTACATATTTGTTTAACCAGTGAATAAAAACAAATAATCTAGTGTTCCAGGTTACCCGAACAGCTGAGCCGACAAACAATGGCCTAAACTTGAATTCAGACCATTGAGTGGGTGGACTTAGAATGAAAGCAGCAACACTGTATATAGAAGAATGATTAATGAAATTTTAAATTGAAAACAAAATAAAAACCCCCATTTGAATTCTTAAAAATATTGTGTTCCCACTAAATTTTAAGCCTTAATAGTCCATGGCTATTAAAGAGGTGATGCTGAATTTGACTGAAACAGAAAAACTAACTTCCAGAGTCCTGTTACTGCCAGTTTTTCTTTAAATAACCACAGTTGTTGGATTTGCTTGTGAAGAACTAGAGTGGGAGCCCTGCCTGACCTCCTTGGGCTACAGGAGGGAGAGGGAGAATCCAAATCAATATCTTCCCAAGTGTAATGCCTGTGTGGCAGAAGTCAGACGAGCCTCCCCTTCCAACCCTCTTCACTGTACCTGGCATCTGCCCTTCCCATGATGCTCCACTTCTTTGCTGGGTTGGATAATTCATTACAACAGCCACACAACTCTCAGCACTCATGATCATGGAGTTTAGTAGGGAAGTTTACAGATTAAAAAATGTCAAGGATAGAGTACTTTTAATCCTGGTGCCTCTTCTTAGCCATGCTGGCAGGCATGGCTCTCTGAGCCTTGGCCTCTTGGCCATGTGGTCCCTTGATCTTTGCCCTTGCATGCTAGGTAGGTGTTACAAGCTCCTTTAGCACTGGTAAATCCCCCGAAGGCACCTACTCTGTAAACCACTGCTCTGTCTCCTGGTCTTAGGCTGCTGCCTTTGCGACCATTTATCTTTGCAGACACCTGCTGCTAGTCGTGAGAGTCTCTTGCTAGTTGTGAGAGTGTCTGTACTTGCTTCTAAATGGATCACTTCATATCCAGTGAAGTGACAAAACTGACCAATCCTCCCCTTTATAGAGTTTTACAGCTTCTATCTGAGTGCTCCCATCCAGTCATTTTCTAGCTGTTACAAAGACTCCATATAGAAGAACCAGACCAAGTAATTTCAGTTCATAGTGTGTGAAAAATATGTAGAAAAAGACAGCTATTATGTAACAAGATGATAACTGAAAAGAACTTTGTACAACTTTATATGTCTGATGTGATTATTTAGAGCATATTATCTACTCCAGGTATGTGAGAGTAAACGAAAACTTTGACCACATTATCAACTTGCAGGAGACTATACACGGTCATGATTAAGAGCCTATACCATTTCCTGCCCCCATCCTTTTAGTAGCTGTGTGACCTTGAGCAGGGTGTTTACCCTTTCTGTGCTATTTTCTTCATCTGTAAAATGATGATAGAAACATAGCTATCGCATGCGATCATAAGGTTTAAATGGGCTAACATAAGAAAAATACTTGGAAAAGTGAATGTAGCAAACCCGCAAATATCAGCTGTCAATTATGATTGTAGTTATTTTCAGCGATAATGTTCAGAGACCAGTTGTTTGGCAGTGAACTTTGGGATAGGACTGATTGAGCTTGAATGTGATTCCAGCACACATTGGGGCCCATTCTTAAATCTTTCTGTGCCTCATTTTCAAAGTGAGCGTGCTAAGACTTGTTCCCAGGATTGTTTTAAGGGTTAGATAGTGTTTGCAAGGAACTTAGCAAGAGTGCTCAGCTTCAGGGTAGCAACGATAAAACACAACTTTCCTCTACTTTTTAAAAAAAAATATTTTATTGGGGGCTCATACAATTCTTATCACAATCCATACCTACATCCATTGTGTCAAGCACATAAGTACATTTGTTGCCCTCATCATTCTCAAAACATTTACCTTCCACTTTAGCCCTTAATATCAGTTGCTCATTTTCCCCTTCCCTCCCACTCACCCCTCCCTCATGAACCCTTCATAATTCATAACTTATTATAGTTTTGTCATAAGTTACACTGTCTGACGTGTTCCCCCCTCAGGGAGGAGGCAATACTGAGATTCTTGTAATCGGTTCTCCCTTTCTACCCCACATTCCCTTCACCCTCCAGGCCTTGCCCCTTTCACCACTGGTCCTGAAGGAGTCATCTGTCCTGGATTCCCTGTGTTTCCAGTTGCTATCTGGAAACCAATGTACATCCTCTGGTCTAGCCAGATTTGTAAGGTAGAATTGGGATCATGATAGTGGGAGGGAGGAAGCATTTAAGAACTAGAGGAATGTTATATGTTTTATCATTGCTGCCTTGCACCCTGATTGGCTTGTCTCCTCCCCACTACCCTTCAGTAAGGGGGTGTCCAGTTACCTACCAATGGGCTTTGAGTCTCCACTCTGCACTCACCCACCTTTACAATGTTTTTTGTCCTTTGATGCTTGATACCTGATCCCTTCGATAGCTCGTGGTT